GGGGGTAACGCAGTTATATAATACACGGTCGTTTCCTCAATAGAGCTGCGGCTCGCAGAATTGTTCACCAAGCAGAGCCGTAACGAAACGAATATCCCGTTGTGCCCTGGGAATCCCCGCAGATTTACAGCCAGTTTAGAATCATAGAAGCGTGATAAGAAATAAAATGGTGAATGGAAAGACAGCTCGAGCGGGCATAATGATACGCGCTACGCATAGCAAACAACGCTGTATCAGCTTATCGACATGTGGACGCGATCGCATGCGAATCCGACGTGTGAATTAAGGCTAACGCGTTTTAGTGCACTTGCGTGATCATTTCAAAAGTACAACCAAAGAATCCGAATCATCGCGAATCGAAACAATCTTCTAAGTTTTAAGTCTTGATTTTGAAAATTTCAGTGTTCCATTGGAATTGACCAGTCACATTTATCGTAAGCAGAAATGACCAAAATTATTTAAAGATGGTGGAACCGGGTCTAACAAGTAGTATTAATGTCACATTTCACACTGCAGTTTTTCGCCACCGGTTGATGCGTGCATCGCTTCCAAATAGCCAATATTACCTTTATACGAATACTATAATACATACCTGCGAGAGCTCAGCAAAATCGGTGACTCGACGGGTGTGAACTCCCCTTGTTAGAATCGATCAGGTCCGATCCACTGTACCATCCTCAAACACCTCGACTGTTGCTCGACCACTCAAGCGCCCCATTTAAACTTGGGTTTGACTCACGATATCTTTCCTACGTAACTGGATCTTTCACCTTGCTCACAAATTTATCACGCACAACCTCGCGCGTATGCACACGTAGGCAGAGAAGCGGGGAGGACGACTGGCCCCGACGACGTCTGCGCGAACACTGAGCTCGCTCGCATTGAGAGTCGTGCCGTTCTACATCACGTGGTCACGCATTCGTCATTGACCGCCTCGGTCAAAGAGCTAGGGGATGCCTAACAATTGCAATTGAAAAATCTAGATGGGGAAGAACCCTCTATTGGGGTCCCGTGGTCTGGCTGCAGTTTGCGAGAAGTCCTGCTGTTTTCAAATGAAAGAAATTATGAATGGAATGTAAAATTAAAGACCTCTCCTCTCTCGAGTAGTGTCCCAGTAATATTCTTATCAACGGCTTGTGTGATATGCAACAGCTTCTGATACTCTACGCTGGCTGCGCTTTTATTAGTTTAGGAAGGTCGTGTCCGGTCTGTCAAGGCAGACACGACATGATAATTAAGCTTTTTCTCTATCTGAAACTATGTCAAATGCAGCATCAAATGAGAAATTTAAATCGTTGATAATTACAGAACTCTGTAATTGTCACTGAATTAGAACAAATATATATTCACAGAGACGTAAGATTAAACAAAGTGTTTCAAATCTAATAGAAAGACACATGCGCGTGAGGTTTCTTAAATTTGTTTTAAATGTCGTTACGGAAATTTGGAACAAAATTGATTTCTCAAGTAAAATTGATTTCCACTATTTCTTCAGGGCTTTCCAAAAGTCGGTGGCACGCAATTTTTTCTGTACACAGAACATGAACAATTTGGTTATTTTTGACTAATTGACTAATAACAACTTGATATTACTGAAAAGGAAATCGTAAGTACAATTTATTCCTTCTTCGTATATTTCGTTGTACTTTGGTCAATAATTTCATACAGCGTGAGCAAGTATATACATACTTTCACTTTGAGTTATTGTACTATACATAAGTAATATTTAACAGTTCACCGCATAGTGTCGTGAAGATTTCACAATATCGCGCAACAATGCGTAATTGACCGCGAAGAAATGGCAGCGTCCCAAACATGACGGATTAACAATAAAGTAGCTGTAAAGATGATTCCAAAACTAATTCCTATCGAATACGTAAAAGTGATCATTTACAAAAAATGTATATATTCGTAAACTTAGACGTAAAGCTTGCTTCAAGCATACTTCTACAGTTGTACATAATATATGTATATATAACGAGGAAAATATATATACTACTATAACATTATTCTATTATGTCACTAATATATAATATATTTTAGTACTATATTATATATTAGTAACATACTATAAAATTATTATTAGCAAAAATATGTTATATTGCCTACATAATATATTATTAAAATTAACAAAATATACGTAATGATACTCTATTAGATATAATAACAATATATACTATATTACGTATATTATATCAGTATACTATACTTTATTTCATTATTCCTGCTATAATATATATCCTATAATTTTTATCCTAATAGTTAATGTACGTAGTTGCATTAATAAATGCAGTATACAAAAGTATCGAGTTCCCTTCGGCATTTATACATGTATTATAACAGGACTTAAGTATAATAATTCATTCATACATTAATTAATATATTCGGATCGATATATTTATACTGAATGTGAACTATACTAATCCATCATTCCACACGAATCTTGGAGTCGTCATCAGATCTTTATTCGAGAACAAAACTTATCAGATAATCAGAAATTATATAATTCTGAAAAAACATCACATCAGTGGACTATTTATTAGGTGTACAAAAAAGTTCTGAGCTTTAGATTTCATACAACCGAAATAACAATTTAAATTTTATATATCATCCCGCTCTTTTGCGGTTTTAAAGCGTTGATATTTGGCCTTCTAAAATGCCATACAGTTTGGCGTTTGATGCACATAATCTCAAAAATCAGTAGTGTTCACGATGGCAATAACAAACGAGCGTATTCGATTTTCCATCCACTTCGCGTTTCATCTGAAGAAAAATGCTGCTGAAGCCACCTATAATGATTTGTGCTACATATGGAGAGAACGCTGTAAGTCATACTACATGTAACAGACGGTATCAAAACTTTCGCCAAGGAGATTTCAGTCTTGAAGATTTTCTCTGTAACTGGTGAGATTGGAAAGGTGTATTGCATTACGAGTTGTTACAACCGGGTAAAACAATCAGGGCAGACCGCTACTAACAACAATTGACCAATTTGAGCGATGCATTAGAAGAAAAGAGGCCATTTACTGGCCAAGGGAGTCGTAAAGTGATCTTGCTTCATGACAATGTTCGACCACATGTTGCAAAAGCGACTCAGGACCATATCTTTGCGTTAGGCTGGAAACTTCTCCAGCACGCGGCGTATAGCCCAGACATGGCGCCTTCCGATTACTACCTATTCCGGTCGCTGCAGCATTATTTGGCTGATACACATTTTGTGAGATTTGAAGAGATACGAAAATGCATTGATGACTTTATCGCTTCGAAGCCGGTGAGCTTCTATCGTCAAGGAATTCGCAAGCTACCCGAAAGGGCAAAAGGTCGTTGATACAAACGAGGAATATTTCGCTGATTAATTTTTTTTTGTTTGTTTTTGAATGAAGATTGAACTTTACAAAAAAAAGCTCAGAACTTTCTTGAACACCTAATATAAATATGTAAATTGAAAAATTATAATATTTATATATATTATATAAACCTATTTACATATATCAAATATATATAAATGAGAATAAGTAGAACATTTATATATAATGTATATAAATATAAATAAAATTAAAATTTATTTAAAAAATATGTAAATGGAAATACATTCAGAACTTATATAGAAATGTGCTTTTTTCGATATAATTTTAATTTAGATTTCATAAAGTTTACTCAACAATAATTATATTGTTCAATCTCCAAGAGTCTCCATGATTCTTATAGAATCTACGTACCGAAGCGTGTATGATGGATATTGGTAGAAATAACAGCAAGTTTACTGTGCGTAAATATCACCTTAGGTACAACTTCGATTTATAATAACTACAAGTTTGCGATAAATTACACCTTATCTCAGTACTTTGGTTCATTATCAATATATGTTTTCGCTTTATCACAAGAATTAAGTATTTGTAATTTCTGTAATATGCAAAAGTATTTAGTAGAAAAATATAGCAGTATCGTAAGGTTCGACGCGTGACAGAAACTTTTTACAAAATCTTATGGCGAGGTCGTCAAAAATGATCTCGCGACGACGTTCTCATTAAAATTGATACCAAAATATGATTCCTTAGATGCGTGTTGCGCTTCAAATTACTTTTAAATCACAATGTTATGATACTTGACGGAAGTGTCGTGTCCATAATGTCTCGAAGAAAGACAATATGGTGTTGATCTTCTAGAAATGTTACTTTCATCTGCATGTGCTATTATGCACATATGTCCATATATCTTTTTCTACACCGTAAGTATCTGAGCATATTTACGTTTTTACTTCGAGAAATCTAACTAACGAGACACTGGTGTAAAATTCATCTTTTCTTCCTGTTACGTTTCTCCGTACTTGTTGAAATAGGCCTGCCTCGCCACCTTGGCCAGTTGATCGTACATGCCTGGTCCGGTCTCTTTTACTAACGAAGTAAATTGACTATAGCTGTTTTTCAGTAATATATGAGGATGATCGTATTCCTACAAATAAAATTGTAATTATGGTTCAGTGGTTGCGCCCATTCTTTGTAAAGCGTAATTCTTGCGCATTAAAAATGATGAACAAAATTTTTATAACATCTGTATAATAAAATTTCTTTTAGAAATTCTGAAAAATTATATGAAGAATCCTAAAGAAGAGTCCTTCATTTTGGCAGAAAATGTAAGAGAAATGATATAAAGATTTTAAGAAACGAAGGATTATTCAAAATTAAAAATCTCAGACGTTCGAGTATAAAGAACCTTTAAAGATTCGCATGCGAAGAAAATTAAAAATAGCAGGCCTTCAGATTGTCATAAAAAATGCATCTTTTAAGAGGAACTGTACTCACAGCCATACGACCCTTATCCATCACCAGAACCTTGTCGCTGTCCATTATGGTGTTCAGTCGATGCGCCACTGTGAGCATCGTGCACGTTGCGAATTTCTTCCTGATAGTCCGTTGAATCAATGCGTCGGTATGCGGATCTACGTTCGCGGTCGCCTCGTCCAGCATCAATATGCGGTTGTTCCTCAGGATGGCTCTCGCTAAACACACCAACTGTCTCTGTCCAACGCTGTAATTGCTGCCTCTGTCAAATACACGGCTTTCCAAACCGTTTCCGAGAGTAATGACCGCCTCCTTCAGCTCAACCTGGACATTCGTTGCGAAAGAAATTTTTGGATAGTACACAATGTTCGTAATTATTCGTTGCACAATCTTAGGACCATGTGACTTGACATTTGATATTTCGAGATTCTACATATTCCAAAACTCACTTCCGGGTCTTTGGATTTTAAGATGTTTTTAAGATGATGTTTTTGGAGCCAGAATATCGGAACCGTCGGATTTTGCAACGTCATAGTATTATACGTTTCCCGATTAGGTACAACAGATCTATTCTTAAATAATAAATCGTTCGAACCTCTTCAAGCGCCTCCCACAAATCCGTGTCGGGAAACTCGTTGAAAGGATCTAAATTACGTCTCAGAGTACCTGAGAACAAAACGGGATCCTGGGGAATGATGGATATTTTGCGTCGTAAGTCCTCCAAAGCCATCAAACCCGTGTCCGCGTTGTCAATCAGGATGGTTCCCTCAACTTTTGCCAATCGGAACAATGCTGATATCAGCGACGATTTACCGGCGCCTGTTCTTCCCACGATACCAACCTGCGTGGCAGTATTTTATTTTTAAAGTACCTTAATACATGCGCATGTTTGTACTTATGTGTATAATTATTTTTTATATTTTCCCAACAAAATTTTAACTTCTCAGGATAGAATAAAATAACAATTAAAAATTCTTTTACTTTCTATCAATCTTTCTTACACAACTTCTTAATATAATCAATAAAAAATTATTATAGATAAAATCATGAAAAGTTTTTGAATGTCTCAAGATTCAAAGAAATCAAAGTCTTTTATTTGTTTTAAAACCGAATTAATATTAAATTTCATATAAATTTTCTTTTTTCTCCTCTCTTGCTACTCGTCTGTCTCTATAAAAGTTTTCTCACAAAATTTCTGTACCTTCTCCCCAGGATGAATTATTATATTCAAGTCCCTGAGAACAAGTGCATCCTCGGCCGCGTAGCGCATATTAACTTCCTTGAATGTAATACAGCCTTGGTCAGGCCAGTCTTTGGGGGCGTTGCACGGTAGTGCTGCATTTTTGTCTTTTTTCTTCACGTATGCCCCCCGATCTCTCAGATTTGGTTCTTCCGGCAGCTGAACGTATTCGAGTACACGTTCCACTGCCATCATCTGGTTTGCCACCTCCGCACTCTGTCGCATCCCCCACTGAATTATCCCGGTCATTGCCATTACCTGAGTGATGGCCAAACCGACCTCGCCGCCAGTAAATGCTACAAGATATGCAAAACATTTAATTCTGCCGTTTTTCATTTTGTCTTAATTTTATAACGTACATTTTTTAACGCTTTAATCGTCAACGTCCCATTTTATGGACTAAACAGTGTTTATACACAAGTTTAGTAATCGATAAACTTCGCTCTAAACTCTTCAAAATCTTAAATTATTTAATATTTTTAATATTAATTATATATAGAAAAAGAAGTTTTCAGAAAATAAAACTACGTATTTCACGAAGTAAAATTCTTTACAGCCTTTTTAATAAACTAATAAGTTTTACATAAAAAATATACTTTCTGTACCCTTTGAAATATACGTGTATATATTTCTTTTATGGAAAAGTATTTGTAGATAAAATTTGAGATAAATTTGCAAGGAGACTGATACTCACATTGTTTGAGTAGCAAAAAGCTGAAGGTGACAAGTGAGGTAAAGAGGAAGCAGAACATGTCCAAGAAAAATCCAAATGCAGTGCTGGTCACGATATACATGTAAACGGTAGACGTGTGTACATCTTGCAGTTTGTCGAATTCATGTTTGAGTATATCCTGAGCGCAGTACGCTCTGATAGTCGTCAAACCGTTCAACGTGGCGTTCAAGTGCGTGAATACCGGCGAGCGAGCTGGAGCACAAAAGGATATCCCGCGAGAATATTATTTCTTCAGAATATAAATTCTTCTTATAAACTAAAGCACTATAAATTTCACCCATTTAACAAAATATGTGGAAAAAGTCATTTTATTTTCTCCATTTATATTTTTTCCCCGGCATGATTTTCACGAAATAATAAATATGATCAAACTTTTGATAAATTCTAAAGACTAAATAAAAAAGGCAGACATACATATTCCCTCCAATCGTTTGATGTTCTTGCTAGTCTTGAGGTAGATCCTACGGATCCAATAGAATATTCCTCCAATGACCACGATAGGCGCCAGAAAGATGGGATTGACCACGCAGGTCACTGTCAATGATCCCAACATCATCATGTTCATCTGGCCGGCGTCCAGCATCGCCTTGGGTAATAGTTCATCTATCGCGCCCATGTCTTTGGAGAATCGATTGAGGATCCTGCCGCTCGCATTAGTGTCGAAGAATCGCATTCCTGTACGAATAAGCGCACTGAACATCATATCGTGCAGGCGCTGGCTGCACGTCATGCACGTCTTATAGAAAACAAGCGATCTGGTGATGCCGACGAAGAAGATTGCCAGCACGATACCGGCGTAGATATAGACATAATGAATCACCCTTGCATCCTCCATGGCAAGATATTGATGTAATCCCGTTGTATTCGTGTAAGAGTCATCCGTTTGATTCAAGTTGACTTGGGTGAATTCGTAGTCTTGCGCTTCCACAAAATTGATTCTGAAGCGAGAAGAAAAATTATTGAACCATTAATGAACCGAGTAAAAATGAAATATTATTTAAACAACTCCGCAAAATATTTGTACTAAATGCACGAGTGTGCAGAATTAATGTATAGAAATTGGCGGATTTCGAAAAATTGAATAATATTACAAACAATATGAAGAAATATGTTTGACAAATAAGTATTTATACAAGAAACGTTTCTTTGACCGATTTCATTGATAGTATTAGCTGCTCACAAGAAAGGCACAAAGAGGTCGTTGAGACTGACGATGAATTGCGTGATGATGAACAGAAGAAGAACGGTAAAAGCCATGTATAAATTGGCACCCATCTTGAAAAACTTAATAAATATAGGACCCTTAACCATGCCGCGCGACGTCCCCTCGAGACCGTCGTTCAACTTCTCGGAATCTTCGTCTTCCTCTTCGTCGTCTGTACCGCCGCTACTCGCTTCCGGAGTGCGACTCTGTTGAAAGAATTTTATCTTCAGTAACATTAACCATTTTTCTTCATCAGTTAAACATTATTCATTGTTAATATTAAATACAGCAACTATGAAACATTGGTTTATCTTTTCCAAATTCTCTCTCTTTCTCTCCCCCTTTTCATATTTATATCTTCACTTACTCTGTTACTTGTGGAGGAAAACTGTCGTCGTAAGTTTATACTACTTTCTAAGGACGAGTCGTCGACTACTTCATTCTCCGTTGCCAGGAGTACTCCGTATTCGGGTCGATATTCCAATAAGTCCTGATAATGCGAGAAGTACTGCATTTTTCCCTGTTCAAGCAGTATAATAGCGTCCACTCCTTTTATATACTGTAGCTGATGCGTCGCTAAAATTCTCGTTTTACCAGCCAGGTATTTTTGCATACATTCTTGAAACAGATGTTTGCTGACATGGGCGTCGACCTGAAATTTCAAACAGATAATCCTTCGTTAGGATTCATATTTAATTCAAAATCCCACTTCATTATTATTCATAAGATTAAAATTAAGTTTATCCCATTTGCATAAAGTCTACATCATGTACGATACCCAACGTCTGAAAGAATAAAATCAGAATTAAATTACTGATTTCTTCGACGATCACCCACCGCACTCAAAGGATCGTCCATCAAGTAGATGTCCGACTGCCTGTATAGAGCTCTGGCCAAGTTGATCCTTGCCTTCTGACCGCCAGATAATGAGCTGCCCCGTTCACCCACAATGGTCTGATCTCCCTGCGGAAATTGCTTGAAGTCCCGTACCAGGGCGCAAGCTTTGACCACCTTCTGGTACCGTTGGCGTTCGTAAGTTTGCCCGAAGAGTATATTCTGTCGGACGGTGGCACCGAAGACCCAGGCCTCCTGGCTGGCATAGCTGATGTCGCCGTTCACCTTTACTTGACCTCCCGTCAGACTGATCTCGCCCAGAATCGCGGACAGGAAAGTACTCTTGCCACTGCCCACCATGCCGATCACCGCGTACAGCTTGCCCTTTTCGATCTCCAAATTCAGATTCTCCAGAGTGTTCTCCGATTGTCTTTCCTCCCATTTAGCATTAACGTTAATCATATTGATCGCCCAGTTGTTCGTATCGTACATGGATTGTTTATTTTCTGTGAATAGTAAAGTTTTGTTGCGCGTTAGATTTGTTGAAAGTAAATGTTAAAAGGATGCTGGAAAGATCCAACCGAAACGTCCTACAAGATTTTACAGATTCTAGAAATTCTAGATGAAAAGGTAAAAATTTTTAATTTTACTTTGATATCTTTTAAAATATTGCTTCATTAAAGTAATAATCTCTCAAGTTGTAAAGTATGTCTGAAGATAATTCAATTTGGGCTATCTTTGTGACATATTCACGATATCATGTATATTTATGTATCTCGTAAAAGGAAATTCCATGTTCTTTTGTGGTCCTTTGAATTTTGAATATCTACCTCCAACAAAATTAGCAGTGTTCTTCAACAAGTCGCTGGCAACGATCAACAGACCGTTTTGTTTTCTATGCTCGCTATCCTCTCCATGTGACCCCAACTGATTCTCCACGACATCGTCATCAATGTAGGGCAGATCCTGTTTGGGGGCCTGCTTGAAATCCGAATTGTTGCCGGAGGACGCTCTGGAGAAAATGACGTTACTGCCCTGGAACTCGTTGTAAATGAGGAAAGTCTGGAGCCTGCGTATAGCCACCATACACTCGGCCAACTCGGCGAAGCCGCGCACGAACATGCCGGTCATGGTGTGCGCGAGGATGTTGAAGTAGGACGAGACGACGAAGATCTTGGCGGCGGTCAGCTCGTTGCCGAACACCAGCATGGATACGAGGGTGCAGAACAGCCCCATCCGAGTGGTGAACAGATTGAAGGTCATATAAATACCACGGATGTAGGAGCTCTTGGTGACTACTCGTAACTCGAGCTTACGCGCCAGCTCGACCATGGCGCAGAACGGCTTCTCCCACGCGTACATCTTGATCACCTGCACCCCGGAAATAATTTCATCCATCAGCCGGACCCGCTCGTCCGTCTTAATAGCGGTTTGAAGACGAAACTTGGACGACAGCTTGCCGGTATAAGCTAAAATCGCGAGAGTAGGAATTGGCGAACGTCCTCGGCAAAACGACTTGTCGCATATAACGTCTCCTCATATCAGTGTCTCAAATTGATTTTTCCGTGTGCGCGAAAAGAGTAGTGGTCTAACATTTTTGTGAATTCTTAAAAAAGAATTTTTATACGACTCGTTGCAAGACTTACATTGAAGCGGCACGACCACAAAGATGGCGGCGATGCCGATAAGACCGGGATAGCCGACCTCTTGGTAGAGAATATAAGCGACGATCAGGGCGGACAGTGGCGCCGACCACATGTGATGAATAAAGATAGTCACGAGATCAAACCTACTGACATCGTTGGCTACTAGATTAACTACTTTTCCGGGTGCTGTCTCGCCCAGTGCAGTTTTGCTCAGGCGCAGAGCCTGCAAGACAAATGCAAAAATTTCCATTACATAATCTGATAGCTAACACGGTGGCGAATCATATCGCAGAGGAAATGTACACGTCTATTAAAGTCGATCACAATGTTGATCTGTTGAATCTTCAATGACTGTTTATTAGAGAGTTCGAAAGTTCTGAAAGTTATTGAAAAAATTGTTTCTTTTACTTTTTGCTACAGAATTATTCGTCTCTTCGCCTGTTTGCATAATTTCCTTACTTCTTCCCTTTTCGGTAAAGAAATGTACACTTTGATGAGCTGAGCGAAAGTGCGTGGAGCGAGAATCCGCTCGCTTTTTATGGACTTTGCGTCCTTTATTTCCTCCCACGTTATAATTAGCCTGAATTTTTTTAATACAATACTCCTAGTGACCAACCTTTCTGTATACTAGAGAGCAGACGGACACGCGAACTTTGGCGCCCACGTGGAAAGCGCCGAAGATCGTTTGATTGCCGCTTATCACATACAAGCCAGTAGCTATGCAGATACCAACGGCAAACCATACGGCAGACTCGTACGTTTCATCCGAACCCTTCCGGAAGTAGCGTAGGAGGCCACCCAGCAGCAAAGGTGTACCTAATCTATAGATTTCACACGTTAACTTTTTATATATATCACTGAAGGATGTTATAATCTTACGAGTCTATGACTTAGACTATTATTTTAATAACAGCAATTATACTGTTATATATTTTCTTTATTTTATTTATTACTACATCTGCTTAGGTCGGAGACAACAACACCTTCGATATAGCTTCTCAAATCTCATCGCAAATTTTTCAGATACCTGCTTCTTTTTATACGATTCCCCTTGTTTGAAGTTTTACGTAACACGAAGTTTTAAGTTTAAACTTTTACGTAACACGAAGTTACAAGTGCGATAACGCACTGATAACAATGTACTACTTTTTCACCCAAACGCAAACGTAAAAATATTGATTAAATTTTGCAAGAAAATTAGTGCTTTCCGTGTACAAAAAATGAACTTGAAGGATAACACTGTGCTATCTTTACTCAATTTATTCTGAAATTCAGGTTCAATTACAAATTATTATAATAATCAGCAGTAATTATTTCGCTCGAGTCACTCCGGTATCATTTCGTTCTACAAGATCAACTTTATTGGGAACAAATAAAAAGAAATCGCGAAAAGTACTAAGTGAAATACGAGAGATTTACAAGGATGAGCGAGAGAGCAAGTACCTTATCACGAACTCGTTAAAAATCTGTACTAATCCCAGCATAGAGTACTCCAATAGGAACGTGCGGAAAATAGCCCTCAACAAACTCGGACTGCGTTTCCATTTTTTCGAGTTTTCCAGCTCGATGTTCCATCGTCTACAAAAGTACAACAACGTCTTATAATTTCTATACCTTTGTAAAAGGACGACGTACAAGGAAGAGAATTTCCAAATACTTTCTTTCGTCTTCATCTTTTTTCTTGTACATGATTTCTCATACGTTACTCACTTTTCTAATCGATCTCCGAGTGACTTCGATCGGTCGACTTTCAAGGGGTCAAACAAGTCGTCTACTTCTAAAGCTTTTTTGTAGCCAGTCTTGAATAAACTAATGGTCCACCTGATCCAAAGCAATTTATGTAAATTAGACATTAGATACCTTATCAAGTAGCATCAGATTGCAGATGATAAGAGCGATAGGAGTGCAGTAGTGTTGAAGTCTGGAATTTTAGAAATAATTCCACGCGAAGTTATGTTTATGACATGACAAGGCGATTTTATTATATTAGCTGTGCAAAGTGCATCGTCATCTTTGAAGACAAGGTAGCATTACATGAAGATAAGAACTCATTTGCGGTAAAAATCAGCCTTACGTATCAAGTAACACGTATACTTGCAGCATACATGTCTCGACGCGAAATGTTATTCCGCATAATCTGAATATTTATTAACGCAACAAATCAATGTGATTCAAAAATTAAATGTGCAAACGTGAGTATGAGTATTTTCAGAATAAACATTTTTCTGAATATTCTAAATCACTGGACTTTTACATATCCAAAATAAAAAGTAATATAACTTCATTAAGTGTAAATAACGGATAAAGCAAAATAATACAAAAGCATCTGCAGTTAAAAAGCGAAGCGGCAGCTTTAATCAACTAATGTAATGTATAATTAATCCGACTACCGGTGAATCTAAATATTTAAGACAAATCTGTAGATATTTAAATGTCCAGCGTTGAAGTGCCCAAGTGCTCAGACACTTGCGAATTTCGCGGAGGACCGGAAGAGTCTTGCCGGAAGGTCCGATCGTGAAAAAATGACTCACCACCAAAGCAACACCGACACGATGTTCGCCTTCTCCCGCGGATTCGGGTTCGACCTGACTTTCGATGAATCCATCGGTCCTTGCACGCGGCATTAACTCGCCACGAACTGCCACTTGCACGGTTAAAGGCGATCGCTTAATTAATCGGATTTACGGAGATTATGCAACACACGTAGACACTTTCGTTCGGCGTTTAATAATCGCCCCTTTTTCGCGAACGCGAAGACAAAAGAATCTTAACAGTCTATTGTGGTAGTGCTCTTTCTTCGATTGTCACAATTTGTCAACAATATCTTTAATACGCATATATTGTTAGCCACTCGGTACAATTGGCTGATCTCTTCGCGCGATCGTAATCAGATTGAAATTGACACTTCACATCTAGTTGTATCAGCCGTTTGCAAATATCGTCACGTCCCACGGATCGATCGATGCCAATCTTATCGCGAATTCTCAGTGAAACCCTCTCGAAAGTGGAGTAAGGTATCAGTCATCGATACTCATGTGAACATCTGTCGTTTCTTGAGATTTATCTTCGAGTGCCTGCTTGCAGCTTTCAAGATGTTCGTGAATCTACCTAAATTTTTTTTAAGTAACAATTATTGCACCTGTTAAAGTAACTACGTAATTCTGAAATCATTGCCATTATTATGTAAAATAATTACAAATAACAAGGTTTAAGTTGTGATTCATTTACCCTAATGATTTTTTCAATCATTTAACTTTAGAGATAATTACGACTTACTGAGTCTTTTCTTTTCCTCCGCTAGTAGAAAATGGTCTCTTTGCAGTCCTGTCTGTTTTATTATACGGTGAAAAAAATGTGTGCGCGTGACGAGGTGACGAATTAGTGACGAGGTCCACTCTGAAACGCGAACGATCAGTTGGTCGATCCAGGAACCAAATGATTTCGTCGATCTGCGTGTGAAGAAAAAGCCTGTATCATTTGCCTCCACCGTCCTAGCCTTATCTGTCTGGCTACACGCGATTGTTTGCTTGCTGTGTCACTTTTCAAATAACATGGAAGGTCGTACAATCGCGACGTTATACGCTAGAATTATCTATTGAAATAACGAAGTTGATATATGCACGCTTGCCATTAATTCGCCGTCAAATTATGTCCTTCTTGTTTCTACGTTGTACAATTAAAGACGACTCTGAGAAAACTGAAACCGCAGTCGAGTTTTTAGAACTGTGGAGTAGAACGTATAGAATTGAAATAAAAATAAAAAGAATTTGTAAAGTGAAAATTGAAGAGTATCAAAGTTAAAAATTGTACGAGAAAGAGAGAAATTCCGATATTAACTATACTGACAAAACATTGTTTTAAGTAAATAGATTTACTTAAAATAATTTTTTTTACTAAAGTAAAGATTTATTCTATTTAAATAAAAATATCAAGTTTCAAGTAAATCTGTGTATTATAATATATTAAATAAATTATTTTAAATCCTTACATTTTCTACATTCAACTAAAGATTTCATGAGATAGAGAATACTATTTCTTAAATAAAATAATTGTTTTTGTCAAATAAGAAATCCAATTTTCTTCGCTGTAAAACTTATATCTTAGTAAACATTTAGTCTTTTAATTTAAAATTATCTATTGCTTCATATTTAATAAATACTTAAATTAAAGGAATGCATGTTTTAATTTGTTTATTATTTTTTTAATTGAAGTTAATAAGCTATTAGGAGCTACCTAATGAATAATTTTGTTGAATAAAGTAATATTTTTTTTATTAAGATATTTTCATCAGTGTGAAAATTTAAAAAATTACAAGATTGATTTGATTAGAAAGTTCAAGAAATTATGTTTCAGCACATCACGATTGTACATTTTATGTTATTTAAAGAGAGACACGCACAGCAGACAAATTACATTTTGTGTGCTATCAAAGTCGGGAGCTGATAATTATTTCAATGAATAATTTATTCAGTAACATGTACAGAAGCGCTGTTATTGAGGTTCCCCCAGATTTATGCAATTAGCATTTCCTCATGCGGGAATAAAAATCGATATTTTGCTAAACAGTATCGCTTTATGGGGAAAGCGAAACCATTTAACACTTTGACGCGCCGGGAAAATACAGAGTTTATCGGTCGCTGACCGAAGATGATCTACGATCGTGCTTCACGCCTGAGAAATAGTAGCAGCAATAAAAGAGATAAAAATGGTTTCTGAGACTCGTTTTCTTCATTATATTTAATTGGATTAATTGTATTGCACTCATTAAATTGTCATAATTAAAATAATCTTCGGAAATTACATCTTCATTATCTCAAACATCTTGAAAATACATTTGAGGCTGTTATCTCCCACACGAAATCGTTTCAGAGTATATTTTTTTAATGTGCAATTAAACGTTTTAATTTAAACTTATGTAGCAACAATTTTATACACATATCGGCGACGCGAAAAAGAATAGAATGAAATAAAGAATGTTGCTTCCTCCCGGATTAAACTGTGAGAAAGCAGTGCAGATTCTTGCACCTCTGAACTTACGGATCTCAATTTATGGAACTCTAGTTCCGGTTATATAATAGCGAAACACTTCACAAGGTCTGGAGAAAGTGAGCTTAAACTTTTAACTATCAGTTCGAGTTATTGTGAACCTGGAATTATACAATAGACCTATCTCTTTTAAAGTGCATCTCGTGTAACATAAATTTTATATCACTTTTTCCGAGAATCTGGACTAGCGTCTAGTGATAGCGTCTACAATTGAATTCGGTCCTGCTCGCTGTGTAAATTCGCACTGAATCTACGGGAGAAGCGAAGTAACGGTTGTTTCACCGAGGCGTCGACAATCGCAAAGATATATATTGTATATTTGAAAAATTAGATGTATATAAAATGTATATAATATAATAAAAAAAATATTATAATACCAGAATACGTGCAATATACGTATAAGCGTATAAAATTGTAACACGCAGCCCCGACTGTGCGAATGCTCTATTTAATACACGTGGATCTTCATGATTCAAGTGATTTATGGGAATATTTCTGCACGGTTTAAAATGGCTTAGAGAAAATGGCTAAAATCTCTCGTTTCCTACCAAGTGTATCGTAAACTGCGTACGTGTTATACCGAGGTGTTTTCAATACGCAGCGTGATATCGGAATGATAAGACTATCCATGTGACCTGAAGGTCATCGCGAAATAATTAGATTCGAACAATTAAAATTGTAATATAGTAAGTAAATGTCTCAGAATATTGTGTTAGTCATTAGATTCGTGTTAAATTTCAGATTAAATCCGAGACGAAATTTTTTAATTTATATTTGAAACCACACGATTCACGATGCTTGTTTTGATACAATATGTATTTTACATACATACATACATACATACATATATTATCAGTTGTATTTAAAATATGTATATTGTAAACTGGTAAAACTGCCGAATAGGGGACCCCGCTCCTACGAACTTGACCTTGTCATATGTCGTCAAGTACACCTTACTGAGTAACGTAAAAATGGTTTTAGCCGTCGCTGTTCGTAAAAAAGTTATTAAAAAAACAATGTCGACCAATTATATGTAATTTTCAGACACAAATATTAAAAATTGTGAAAAATGTTTTAAACAAAAGTTGTAGATCTCTTTGAAATATACATTTTATGTTCTCTTCATTTTTACTGTGCGAGTAATAGTTTTCGAAAACAATGATGGACTCTAAATCTTATATCTCTCCTCCCATCTCCATCTGTCCAACATATGGTATGTCAAGGTCAAGTTCGTAGGAGCGGGGTCCCCTATTCGGCAGTTTTACCACTCTCTCTATTTTAAGACTTCAGTTTGATTTCTGACTGTTGATTACAGGTCACCTGAAAAAGTGGACCTTCGAGTTTTGTTACATCGTAATTATTGTTATTGACATCGAGGTTCGGTTCGACGTGAATAAAATTACAACGATGCAGCAATTTACAATTATTACGATTCTGTCTTCAAGTATGCAATTAAAATTTCGTTTACGCCGCCGAGAACAATGAATTCGAAACGGAACAAGTGCCAGGCTGCACCGGGAAACTGTGTACGTATTTTACACGGAGATTGCGTCAAATGATTTATGTCACAAGCATTTTTATGTGCTATTTCGAGATAACACGACGAGTGAACGTACTGTCGATAAAAATTTACTTCACAAATATGAGTAATTTTTTAACGAGTCGCAGTAAACGATGTGTTAATGAAGCAGGGCAGAGGTAAATTAAAGACACTGTCACGCATCCGAAACAATTGTTATCGACATGCGGCGACGCGTATTGACAAATAAATGCGATTACAAAGAGCCGTTGTCGTTAACTCACGAAATTATGCAACTTGGCGCAAGTCACAATACACGTTATGCAAATCCGATTAACGCGTGTGTCAAGGCAAAGTAGCAAAAAATCTTCTCGAGACGCTTAATAACGTCTTGCTTCCTGACATGCTCCGATCGTGAATAACGCGAAACACTTCCGTATGATTTTTACGCGTGAGATCCAGGTAGAAATCATGCTGACCATCACACGTTGATTGCGTCACTACCTTGCCGGAAATAATTCTACAAAACAGTAAAATATAACTGCCAGAATCTAAGAAATTCATACGTAAATTTAAAAAGTGTTATAAAAATCAACATGAAAATGCTAGAATTGGAGCACTTGTATTAATTTTGGTAATATTCTACAAGTAAGCAGATGTTTTAATTCATTAAGATTTTGTTGTTTCTTAAACTTCTGAAGCTAGTAAAGTTCTGTACTAATTTTAACAAAATTGTACATTTTTATGAAATACTACTTGCAATAATTTCTCGACTTGAGAACATTGTAATTTGTGGTACTATTCCGTAGATATTTTTACAAAAAAAATTAATGTTTCAACGAAGATATCTAAATTTCTACACATTTCTATTTTAAGTCAATTTTTGTAGTTATTTACAGAAATTTTTTCCACTAGTGAATTTAGTGAAAATGTGAGAGCATAGTTTTCTTTAAGTACCTAGAAAGAGCTTCTGTTTCATTTCGAAGATTACTGAACCCAAAGATTAGTATCAGTATTATCATCTCAAGCGGTTTATCTTTTGTATATGGTTACAGCCTATTAGAGATTACTCCACAGCGCAAGAACATCAACGCATTAGCTTGGACTCCAGTGAAGTTCGCGGAAGAATAACAGCGTGACAACGGCACTTATGTGTGTCGTGGTCGGCAGTGTGCGAGATCAATGGTTAAAGAAAGAGTAATTGGCGCCCGCGGGCCGTCGGAGTAGTAACGGAGTTATATAATACAGGGCCGTTTTTTTCCTCAATAGAATCGCGCCTCGCAGAATCGTTCACCAGGCAGAGCCGTAACGAAGCGGACCCCGTTGTGCCCTGGGAATGCCCGTAGATTTATAGCCGCAATTGAAACATTGTTAGTCACGACAATTACTATGGATACGAAGAACATTAATGGACATACGCACTGAGAAAAATAAACCAATTAAATAGTGTTTCCGATGGTTAATTTTTCCGATTAAATTATGGATACATCCGAGGAAATTTGATCGAGAAACAGATCATGTTTTTCATCGGATATACAACTTAAACGGATATGTCCGTTTGTTATTATGTAATTGGTTATCGGAATTATCGGATTATATTCAATCGGACATTTTTCTCAGTGTGGATAAAATGGATGTTTCTAGGCGATTAAAATTTTTTGTTCTTCTCAGACTCAAAAGAATTAATGAGCTTCGCCACACTGAGAAAAAATCCGATTAAATATAATTGGTTAATCCAATGACATAATAGCAAACGGATACATTCAATTAAATTGTATATCCGATGAAAGATATGATCGGTTTTTCAATAAAATTTCATCGGTAACTGCATTTTATCGGATAAATTTAATCGGATATTATGGAAAAAATAACATCAGAAACACTATTTAATTGTTTATCGGATGGAAATTTTTCTCAGTATACGAAACAGTTTCTTTCAGATTTAAAATACACATTGTCAATAATTTAATACGTTTAGCATCGAATATCCTTTACAATTAGAGACATTGCAAGCTTAATTTCTGCTTCTTTAAAAAGTACGCTTTACTTTTGTAATACAAAGTTAAAGTAAAATGGACGAGACTTGATTATTTCAAAAATAACGATGTTACTTTCATCTGTGTTGCTTTACATTTATGTTTATTTATTTATTGCTTTCATCATTGTCGAGTATTTCACTCATTAATTTCTACCAATTTCTACCAAAGTGTCTCCAAAGTCGTAAATATATTTCGGTATTATAGAACCAACGTATGATGCCTCGATTAAACATATCGCTGTCAGGATCGAACGTACGCTCCTCGTATCGCGGCGTCGCTGAAAAGCCAATTAAGAACTAATTGAATGCATCGAGACAATGCGCGTTGTGTGCTAATAACACTCCACTGAGGCCCAACTCGTGAGACGTCGGGTCAATTGTTCAGCGACGCGTAATACGTAATCTTTGAAACACACACGGTCTGATTGTGACTCATTGCGTTACGCGTGGTTAGACGAGCGAGTTCTCTGAAGCAAAAATGTATTCGCGAATTTTCACGGTGTTTTCGGAGAGCAGTCTCCCAACTCGGGGTCCTTCAGGAAACCATCTCTCTCGCTCGTATATTTACGTCGTATATTAACGTCCAGTCAGTAGTTAAATGCCATTTAAACAGAGATGGGAAGAATCATTGAAGAAAAATGGATCGCTGCTAACTCTTCATTCCAGAATAAATGGAAACCTAGGACACTCGTACTCGTAGGAGAAGCAACAAAACGTAATGTGATACGGAACGATTTTGACCGAGGAGAAGAATCGGAAAGCACGAAGGTGAGAAAACGGAGTTTTTCGCGGAGTCGAAGATCGCGGAAATTTTGCTCCAATCTTCCTTGCAATCGAGAGGCTCTCAAGAATCGAGACAATCTAATTCGTTCCCACGAGTGGTTTTTCGCGTCTAAGAATCGCGAGGGAATCCACGGGAAAAAGTTCCGATAGTTTAGAATCATAGAAGCGTGAAAATTAATTAAATAATAAACGGGAGAGACAGCTCGAGCGGGCACAGCGATACACGCTGCACAACAAACGACACGGTATACCAGCTTGTCGACATTTAGAAGTGATCACATGCGAATCCGACATGTGAAGGCCAACGCGTTTTAGTGGACCTGCGAACTCATTTCAAATGTACGACGAAAATCTCGAATTGTCGCGAAATCAAACAAACTTCCGAGAGTTTTGAGTTTTGAAAGTCGTGCACATTCCGAAAATGTGTTTCTTTCCCATGTTATCTTACGTATTGTACCATAAACTTATGGAAATCCCGATTCTTTTCCTCGGTAAAAATCGTTTGGTATCTCGTGGGTTACTAGCTCTTCATTCATTTTGGAATGAAGAGCTAGTAACAATACATAACTATATTACGTCCTTCAACCCATAAACTTCTGAGGAAAAATTTTCTAGAGTTTCAACACTGAGAAAACTTTTCATCGAATAAACCTATTAAATAGTATTTCCGATGGTTAATTTTTCCGATTACGTTTTCCGACTAATTTATGGACACATTCGATGAAATTTATCCGATGAAATGCAGTTAACGGTGTAATTTGATTGAAAAACCGATCATATTTTTCAACGGATATACAATTTAATTGGATAAAACCGTTTGTTATTATGTAATTGGATTATCCGATTATATTTAATCGGACATTTTTCTCGGCGAAGGCATGCAATACTTTTGCAGAATTTTTTGGAGAACTTTCGTTTTCAAATAATATTCGACCCAGTTCAAATCCTGATAATTGAATTGGTTGAAAACCATCACTTTTATCAAGAAACCTGTCGTTTCTTAAATCGAGATAAAAATGTATTGATTAAAAGATAAAGTGATAGAAGTTTCATAATATAACAGAAAATTCAGATATATAGATACAGGTGTTTGATTTAGCACACGCTATCATCCGATTAAATACAAAATAAAAGATTTAAGGGAACATTACGTTGTTTTCGAAATAAAAACGATTATTATATTCGTCGTATATTTATATTATGAATATCTTGAAACAAATTTCTTACTTTGCATATCGAAAATCGCGAAGAAAGTTTAGAACGTCGCGATCGATTCTCCGCGAATATATTCATGGAAATACGCATGCAATGATTTATGGACACGTGCGTACGGTATCCGCAAACAAACCGTTTTACCGAACGTTTCTACGGTACTTGATGATTTGTTTAAATCGCTTCTTCAGTAACGAGATCGCAACATTTTCAAGAACTTTATGTGAGTTTTTCGTGAGTTCGAAATTTTACCATACATTTCACTAGTAAAAAGTATGGTAAAATTTCAAGAAACTCTTATAAAACTCTTCGAAATGCCGTGTTGTCTCACGATTACATGATTTTCAGGATAAACTTTAAAAGAAAATTCTCTCTGTGTCTAAATCAAATGGAAACGAGATGCCAAATCATAACTTAGGTCCGAGCAAGATGAAGGTAGCCCAACAAATACTTTGTGTATTTATCTTTTTTTCATATAATTATATGTTTACACAACATAAATATATTTCTTCAATTCAATTTCCACGTTTTCTCGATTTACAATCGTAATCTTCAAGCACACACACAAATGTGTATTTTGTAAGTTTAATTTCTTCACTTATGTAATTTATATAATTCGATTATAATTATATAACTCTGTATTTCTTTATTTTCAAACGTGTGGTCAATTGACGTGTCATCGTAATTAAAACTCCCCCACGACTTATAAATAGGAAATAAATTTCAATTCGACTTGAATCTAAATGTTTAAGTGTCCTCTATGAAATGCTAAAGATATCGAAGAAGCTTGGTGTCAATGCGAGACATTCCTCGTTTCTATGATGTTGGCGTGCATCGCACGTGATATTTTGAGACACTCGGAGGACGGTGACGCGTTCAGGACGCATCGTGACGAGGGCGAGTATCGTTTGCAAAGTGACTTGACTTGTGACGTAATTCTGCCGTGACGTGAGATACACGAGGAACGGAAAATATCCAGCAGAGACAAGTTACGCTCGAGTAACGATTGAGCCTGCAAGTGTAAATTAACGTACCGGGTGTTTCAAGCATCTACCAATCGATACAGTAACAACAATAGTAGTTATAATAATATTATTAATAATAGCTAATAGCTAATAATAGTAATCGTCGATAATAACAGAATTGTTCCCTTCGTTTTGTTAGGAAAACAAATGTTTAATTAAAAGTTACCGTTTCATAAATATTGTTGGAGGAATAAAAATATAGAATATACAGGGTTGTGTCGCTATGTTGCTCGGGAATATTATTTCTTATAAAAATTTTGGAATTTATGGAATTAGAACAGACAGAAACAAATAGGAAAAGAAATTAAGATACTTATAAAATTACCGGTTTTCTCTTTCGCCTCTCACTCATTTTTTTCCCATCGCAATTACAATCGCATCAAGATTCAAGACGATTGCGAAATAAAAGTGATTTATTTTGAGGATAAAGATTGCCGTTAAATCTAACGTGTTTCGAGGAACATTTACAGTAAACCCGTGCCTTTAGATAAATACATATCTACTTCCTATTAGAGCTCACCATTCAAGCGACATAATTTTATCTGTCGAGATAAATGCATGCACCGCGAACACCATTGATATAATTCAACTTGTACGAATTTTATACAATTGTAATTTATAGAGCACAATGCACGCTGTGTTAAATTTATATTACGATAAGACGTAAAGTATATTATTAGACCACATTATGAACCATTGCTCCACTGGTACTTCACAGAGGAGAAACGTACGGTAACAACTGACAGAACTATTTTTGGCAGACTCCGCGCAGACTTAGAATTGATCAGGACCGATCCGCTGTGTCATCCTCGAGCACCTCGAATGTTGCTCAACCGGTCGAGCCCCCATTTATACTTGTAGTTTACTCACTGTATCTTTCCTACGTAACCGGATTTTTCACCTTGCTCCTGCTCACAAATTCATCACGCACAAGCTCGCACGTATATACACACGCAGGCAGGGAACGGAAAAGCGGGGAAGACGACTGGCCTCGACGACGTCTGCGCGGACACTGAGCTCCCATTGAGCGTCGTGCCGTTCTCGCTACATCACGTGGCACGCATTCGTCGTCAACCGCTCGGCCAAAGAGCCTAGGGGGATGCCTAACAATCGCGATTGAAAAATCTAGAGGGGAAAAAACCCTCTACTGGGGTCTCGGGGTCTGACACCGGCTTGAGAGAAGTCCTCCTGTTCTCAAATGAAAGAAATTATGACCTTCGTGGATTGTAAAATTCAAGACCTCTCCTCTCTCTCGCGTAATGTTTCAGTAATATTCTTATCAGCAGCTTCTGTGATATTTAACAGCTTCTGGCATTCTACGCTGGCTGGGATTTTATTGGTTCAGGGAAGTCGTGGCCGGCGGACACGTCGTGATAAGCTCCTCCTCTGAATGTCTATCGAGTGCAGTAGCATCAAATAAAAACGCAGAACTGTGTAATTATCAATGCTTTGGAAACAAATATGCATTCACAGAGACGTGAGATTAAACAAAGCGTTTAAAATCTAATAGAAAGACACACGCACAGTTTCTTGACATTTTTTTAAATGTCATGCAATTTTTATCATTTTTGAGCAGTTCAAAATAAAGGATCTGCCACGGCCAACTTGAATAATTGTTTGTTTGAAAAAAAAATTTTTAATCATCTCAATCAATAAAATCTTCGAATACTGAAATTTGAAGAGTCGTAAGATCATTACTCAAATTCTGCGACACCCTATGGATCAAATAATATAATAAATTACATTGCTGATTGTGCAATAGATAATTTAACAGATGTTTTTATTGCTATCGTTATTATATTAAAAATAGTTGCGTGCGACGGCGGATTCAAGATTTATTTGTTTAAGGGCCGGTTGTTCCAATCTTTCGGTAAATTAACTAATAGTTGAATCATATATATGTCTTTGCTTTTCCCGCGAATTAAACAAAGATAGATATATAATTTAACTACTAGTTAGTTTACCAAGAGGTTGGAAAAGCCAACCCTCAGTAATCTAATTTAACTCTCAAGTAAATACATTTCGTAGAGCCTTCGATCCTGCTCGTTATGGAAATTTGGGACAAAATTGATTTCCACTATTTCTTTAAAGCCTTCCCCCAAGGTTGGTGGCACGTAATTTTTCCTGCACACAGAACATAAGCAATTTTGATATTGCTAAATATAGACTAACAACTTGATATTATTGAACTAACTGATAACAAAATAATAGACTCACGAAACCTGTTTCTTATCAAGACCGAGCTAGCTTTCCTATACCTAACTTTTCAAAAGTTTCTATTTAGGTTCTACTAGTTTGGCGATGAATAGACAATAATACAAATAGATAAGCATGCAAGTACACATATCGAAAATCCACTTACGCGTAGGAGTGTATAATTATCTCGTTGACTGGAATGTGGCTTGGGTCAGACAACTCACGAAACTGTAATGTAACAATAAAGTTCGATTAGAGATTTTCCAAGATCACCTTCGCTACAATTTCTTCAAATGATAGCAATTAATATTAGTGTTCAATTACCTTATTATTATGTTTCGCGTGCTCTATACTCGTCTTCATGACGAAGCATCTGACCAGGACGTTGTTCTTCTTGGCTACCTCTATGTATCTATGTCGTGAAGCAGGATCGGGATTCGTATTATCTACAACTATGCTTCTTCCTTGACTCAAGTGTTGCTGGACCGCGGCAATGCACTTCTGCCAGCTGCGTAAAGTGTCTCTGTTGACATACTCGTATTGCTTCAGATAATTCTTTGCAAAATGCGATTTTCCGGAGCCCGGACAGCCGACCATGAGTATCATCTGTTAATGGAAAAATAAAATATGGCTACAAAAAACCTTTATTGCGAATCCATTAATTTTAATGTAAGTAATCTTCTCCCTAAACTTCTGAGTGTCTTATGCTAAAAAAATAATTATTTTATATGCAACAGTTAATTAACGTTGAAAGTTATTGTCTACCTCCTGCTGTTTTAGTGTTAGTTCAGCGTCCGCAGGTTTACATATGTCCGTGGTCTGCGGCAGACTTTTCGGATTGAATTTTGGTAGGTCGTAAGGCGCGGTTTTGCATTTTAAAAAGTGTTCCTCGGGCGTCTCAAATTTAACGTCCACATTCAACGCCATTAGTCGATCCGCACTTGAGTGATCTTTCCTTTTTCCGGGGGCCCAGTTCTTTGGCCGACCAGCGGCGTCACCGACGTAGAACGAATTAGACTTGTCAATTGCGATACCTCCGTTTTTCTGTAGTTATACAAACATCGTGCAGTTATTGCAAACGGAAATTGGATAATTAATCACATAAAATATTTATAATTAATCAAAGAAATTTCAAAATTAGAATTGCATCTTCATAAAGAATTGAAATTGGGAAACACATCTCTTATGAGAAATTCCAAAAGATATGCATTTTTAAAATGGATGTTTAAGAAAGGAAAAACTTCCATGATTTTGATATGAGACAGCAGACTTTCAGTACCCAAATTCAGTCTTGTTTTGCAATGATTACACAATCTAAGAATGAATTTTTCACTGAACAGATTTCGCTTCAAGGGCAATAAATTCATGTTGGAATCAACAGATGATGCCTATTAACTTAACAGAAACCTCCGCTATCTTGTATTAGGAGCCTACCTCATAATAGAGGACATTTCTCTACTTTTAACTCTGTAAAAGCTCTGGAATATCTCATATTTAAGTTGTAGTATATTAAATTAATTTACGTACCTCTTTTTCGAGCAATTCCCACATTCCAATTGTTGGCTTTCTATAAATGCTCTTTCCAACAGCGATAAAAACCTAGAAAGTTGAATACATAAGTAAAATCCTTTTTAATTTATAAAATTATAATGGCGATTATATCGCACTTGAATGGGGACGCCGATTTTCTGTAAAACTCTCTCGATCTTGCGCTTGAAATCGTCGACTTTGACCTTGCCGGTGCTAAGGCCCAGCTGGTTTGTGAAGATCACTATTTTATATCCGTTCGTATGAAGCTGCTTCAAATGACCAGGTATATCTGGATATAACAATTGCCAGTCGTTACAGTCCTTTGGAAACACCAAGCCAGATTTAGGTTTTATTAAAGTGCCGTCCATATCATATGCAGCCACCTAAAAGCAAAGTTTAGTCTTATCATTAGTATTCCAAAAAATCCCTCTGTACAATATACATATATATATTACTTATCAAAATTCATTGATACATTTCTTTCATTCATTAGGTGGTAAACTTATTTTCAGCGGCTCATATTTAGATGACGCTAGGTGTAAGTGTAATCTACTTTGACACCTGAAACTGACTGCATTTTAAAAGTTAGACATTTGTCAATAAAATTCAGTGCGAAAAGATTCATTTAAGCGAACAGTGCCATTTTTTCTTTTGATTAAACTTGGAATGTGATAAGTTGGTTTTTCGACATGTGCTGCTTTATTACTTTGATTTGAAAAGAAAAAAACTGTAGCTGTAGCTCATAAATTACTTGTCGAAGCTGATGGCAATTGTGCTCCATCGGAAAGAACATGCCAAGGATTTAAAAGTGGTGATTTTAATGTGAATAACAAACAACGATCAGGTCAGCCGAAAAAGTTTGAAGACACCGAATTGCAAGCATTATTGGACGAAAACTCAGCTCAAACGCTCCAAGAATTGTCTGCAGCGTTAAATGTTGCTCTGATGGCTGTTTCCAAACGTCTACATGCAATGGGAACGATTCAAAAGGAAAGGAAGTTATTCTTTTGCACGACAACGTTCGACCACACGTTGCAAAAGCCGTCAAGGAAACACTGATGCAGCTCGAGTGGGAAGTTTTCCCGCACCCAGCGTATTCACCAGACTTGGCTCCTTCAGATCGTCACTTGTTCCGATCGCTGCAGCACGGCTTGGTGGATACATACTTCGAAAATTACGAGGATGTGCGAAAATGGATCGATGAATGGATTGCATCGAAAGACCCATCGTTCTATCGTTGCGGAATCCACTCATCGCCAGAAAGATGGGAAAAATGTATAGCTAGCGAGGGCCAATACTTTGATTGATATACTTTTTGCTTTCGATATCGAAACAAATGAGTCTGTTAAACAAAAAAAACACCGCGGAAACTAAGTTTACCACCTAATATTATAACACAATTTAAGCGCTTAATAAGACCTGATAATTAAAATTACTTTTGCTCGGTTTAGAACGGACTGCGCAGTATAAATCAACAGTTTTCCATGACCAAAACTGTCCCACTTAGCAGATGTGCCCGAGGTTTCGTTACTCTGTTCGGACGACGTGCTAGAATCGGTGCCGAGTGCTTTTTTATCGGAACATACGCCATTCTCGGACGATCCCTCTCCCTCCGCTCTGTCGCTCTCAGATTCTTCGGAGCGATTGTCAGGGCAATTGTCCAGCTTCAACATCTTCGCCTTGTTATCGCTATCTGTCGCTTCTGACTCGTACGACCTCTTTCTCGGTGCAAAACTTTCCACGCTCGGCGGCGGATTGAACTCGATCACGTAGGCATGCTTGCCGTAGAGCAGCTCCAAACGATCGTCGTGTCTGGCCAGAAATCTCACGCCCTTCTGAGTTTTGAAGCCATTAAAGCCGCAGGCATGTGAGCCGAGTTGCTGAACCGTCACGACCGCCTCCGCGTAGTTTGCGCATAGACGAACTGTTGAAAATAAATTAATGTATTCGTTGGCATCAACGACTTGCAAATAATCCTCAAAGACAATTATTGTTCAATTAAATGGTTAAGATAAATTGTATCAAATAATTTTCAAACTTTATCAGATCCTTGTTCACCCCAACATCTCTACACTGTTACTTAGACCTTGATGACGAGATTTAAGCAAACTTATTCGTCGTACTATCCAAGGTGAATTCTATTGTTAAAAATTATTCTATCAACATGTCAATCGAATTGCTATATTCTGGGTAAAATTGTTTCTGCCACAGCTACTCCGTTTCTCGTGTTAATTTCAAACTTCTTAACTTTGTCCCGCAAGACACTTCAATGTTCAGCCCCTGCTCGCATTCCGGCATGTGAAATTGTATGTACGTACGTTGAGCACAATGTACAATAAAAATTGAACTTAACCTCTACGTAGATTAATCAGAATCCTTTAAAAGATCGAGCCAGTATCGTTCAACATTCTTATTCACATTTTGTCATCGCGATTATCTGTTGCACAACGTGCGAACGGGGATGAAAGTTCAAGTGCGGCGAGCTCTTATCTCAGGGGTTCGTAAAAACGACGCGAGTCTCGCGGAGGATACGCGACCTTGTTGCCGCGAGCATTTCGCATCTGCGACGCCGGTTTCCGACGAGCGTCCAACGGAGGTCGGAGTGCCGTCCGGCAGATAGACGTTCGTCGGAGTCGCCTCCAGGCCACGCAGGTAACAACTCTTGACGGACGCGCTCATCGCGAGAGCAAGGACGACTGTCGCCAGAGGGAGGCCCGGTAGTCGCTCGACGACGCGCATTCTTGCGCATGCGCGAACGAGTTCTCCGGACACGTGCTCTACCTCTAAATCCTGCCGGAAATAGTGCCACAATATTCTACAAATAAAATATACCGCCAGAATCTAAGAAATTCCATGTAAATTTAAAAAGCGTTATAGAAATCAACGTGAAAATGCTAGAATTGAAACACTTGTCTTAATTTTTGTAATATTCTACAAGTAAGCAGAAGTTTTAATTCATGAAGATTTGGTTGTTTCTTAAACTTCTGAAGCTAGCAAAGTTATGTACTAATTTTTATAAAATTGTACATTTTTATGAAATACTACTTGCAATAATTCCTTGACTTGAGAACGTTGTAATTTGTTGTACTATTGCGTAGATATTTTTAAAAAAATGTTTCAACAGAGATATAAAAATTTCTACAAATTTCTATTTCAAGTCAATTTTTTGTAGTCATCTATAGAAACTTTTTCCGTTACGGTAGCGTGGAGAAAAAAATTCGTCGATTCGCCGTGCGCAATAATTCACTAGCCGAGCGGTTTTTTTCACGAAAGTAGTGATTTTTTTATTAATATTGAAACTTGACCAATTTTGTAGACTTATGATACAAGTCCTGTGACAGATAAAAGTTAAAAGTTGTCAAAGTTGACACGAACGAAACAAATAACAAATTACGAATGATAAACTGCGAATCACGAATTGCGCATAGTGTGGCGCTAGCTTAACGATATTTCTATGTGAATTTCGTATACCTTTTCCAACTCGATAAACTGCTCAATGTGAATATAAATCACAAATATATTTGAAATGTTTGAAACTTGATTGAAAAGGAACATTTCTTATACGCAATATATAGCGGTTTGATGGCAACAATAGATCATTCATTTCAATAAATTGGCCAAATGTATCCGCTAGTCCGAATTCGCTGTACGGACCTGAGAAAGACTTTTAACTCGTTCTCGTTTTGAGAATCACCATGTACAATGTGTAACAGTATACAACAGAATAAACGGCATTTATTCTTGCAAATAAATGTTCGGTACATTTCACACAAAAGTTTCAACATAAAAGACACAAGTCTGTTCACAAAACCAACGGACTGAAATTAGGATTTAAAAGACAGAAATTGAATTCGTATGTTTCTTTTTGCAGGAGGAGAAACCGATGCACCAGCTTCAAGTTCAGGTCCCGCGTCAAACGGCCTCCAAGAACAATGAACTGGACCGTCGGGGCGATCAACAGCGAGATGGACATCCAGAAAAAAAGGGCGATGTTCCTTGCACAAATGTGTAACTCGAATACCACTTCAGGTCTCCTATTCGCCTATGGAAAGCACACGGCATACGTTTATATTTGATTTTATCTAAGAGCAACAGCAACAAGTATACTACCATATACAATTATATGTAGTATACTACTTGTAACGAAGTTACAATTACAGTTACTGTTTTTTTTGGTAACTCTAACTTAACTTCCTTACGTTCTCTCCATCTGTAACTGTAGCTTAAGTCTGATTAGGCCTTGCATTTGCGCATAAACGCCTTTATCGATCACTTTACAATTCAAATCCAGATTTGGTATTTTTATTCTCATTGCAGGAAAGTAAGTGCAAAGTAACGATTCGGTATTTCTTGAGTAACTGCAACTGTAACGCGTTACTTTTCAGAATTGGTAACTTGTAACTGTAACTAGTTACATTTTTAGCAAAAAAAAAATACTGTAACTGCTACCAGACACTTTTATAAAGTAGCTTTCGCAACTCTGATTATTGGTATACGTTAATAAAACGTCCAGTTAATTTTAGCTCACCAGGTGCGTCGTGATTCCTCGGCCCCCGTGATCGCGACACCGGTAATGCGGCGGCTATCGGCGATTCCACGTGGGTGATGATCTCGCTGGGCGTCACAGTCGAGCGACTACTCGCTGCCGTTGCGATCAACCTAGAGAAAGCAACATCGGTAAATCAGACGGGAGCCGAGCGGACAAACTGTGAAATCGGTCTCGCCCTGAGAGATTTAAGCTAATCTTGTCTATGTTCTTTTTCTTTTTCCTTGCGAAGTGTGTGTCGTTCGCAATACTTGCTCGTTTACTCAAAATCGTGCCTACTTGATTATCGAGTGAATCAGTTATTACACTTTTGTCTCTTATTCGGCGCCTCCCTAACGACTTTAGGCGCTCCAAGTTATTTCTCTCGATCCGACGCCCGCCGTGCGTGTAAACGCGGCAAGACAATTTCGTCTATGGGAGCTTAACTGTATATAACGGTAAACGGCTGTTAACTGCGAATACTCGTGAAAAGGATGAATCTACGAAATCTTTATCCAGTCGTCTATCTACGCACTTTTTTTTATTCTTTCGGTCGTCGTGATTCTATCTCGCTTCCTGTACAACGAGAGACATAAAGATAAAGAAACGCAATTCGGTCCGTTAACGGATTGAATGGAGACTATTTTGCAAGCACAATTCGATCGCCCTGTGGCACATTGGAACGTCTTTTCAAAGATCCACTGTTACGTGTAATTAATTGCCATTACGTTCGTATTTTCGCTAAATTCACTTTTACACTCGATAAATGCAGTAGCTCGAAGTTCGGTCTGTTAACTAATTAATCGATTGTTCTCTTAATAAACTCTGATATTGATGTATGTACAATATATATATGTATATATATATAAATATGCCCTCTCTCCAAGGAAATAGATAGCTGTTCACAAAGAGAATGGATAGATATTTATTTGTATTTACTCACCTGAGTTTTTGGGTTGAGGTATACTCGAGCATTTGACATTCTCTTTTTTTTTTGTTTAATATTTAGCGTTTCGCATTGCGCGCGTTAGTCTCATTACTTTTCCTGCTCGTTCTCTTTCCCATTTTCTCATATAGCATACTTCTCGGTTAATATTTATTATCATGACAATCGTCTTCGATTTACCCATTAATCGGTCCCAGGAGAATACGCAATTAAAAAAGAGAATCGTGTGCACCAAAACAAGCTGTACTTCTTACGGCAAACTACTTTCCTTTACTTACTCTCCGAGGGTGAAAGATCGTCATTTCACGTAAGACAAGCGGAACCTCAAGCAATTATATTACTTAAAAGTCAAGGACTCTAGCTAATCTCTATTGCTCTCAAAGCTCGTATATATTTATTGCTGGAGTACATGTGCAATTAACGAAAATAGCTGTTTACTCACTTTGGGTGCCGGTCCAGCCAGCGCCGCAAGCGAGTCCAGCTCTGAGTCCAGCGCTAACTGGACCGTGCACCCACTAATTCGATCTTTTTCTTTTTCTTTTCTCTTTTAAGCGGGGAAGGGCGATCTTTAGCGATCTTTGGCATGGTTCTTGCTGGAGGAACGATATTTTCTGTCTCTCGCCGTTTGACTTTCATTCATAGTTTCCTACGTATCTCAGCTTTGTTGTTAAGCCTGTGAAATAAACTCAATTTTCGTCAAGTTCGATCATTATTAAGTACCTTCAAGTACCTCTCGCTGCTCAAACTCCACATCCACACGCTCTACAAATGGCACTTATATGAATGTTGCTGCATAACTGCGCTCATATATCGCTCTATAATCTGTACTCGTGTCATATTCTATTCTGCAAATTGCATCTACCGTATTGCTCTATAATCGTACTTATATTTCTCAAATTGTAATAATCGAATTGTACTAATTGTATAATGTCACACGATTGAACTTTTCAAGAAGTCACGAGAAAGAGGTGTCGGGTTACTTAATCGCCAATTATCTCTGTCAACTATTTCCAACGCTACGTTTAGATACGACTCAGGTGCGAAATATTCCTGAAATGGTAACGTTATTGTGAAATTAATATGTGACACTCTTTACGCTTTAAAGTAAAATCTTTACATTTACACGATCTTGTACACTTTCGCGCGGAATATTTCTTCCCGTAATAATATTATCTACTCTTTACTTTTACCTTTTTCTAACTAAACCCTGGATATTACGATTTCCAGCTCTTCGCCTCTCGCCCGCGTATTTTTTTTACCAGTTCGGAGTCGATTTTTCCTTACTGAAAACGTCGAAGGAGAGATCATTATCCGTTTACACATATTTCCCCACACTAAACACACGTCTAATTTGAACTTGGACAAAACCGTTTAAATCTGGCCACCTATTCAGACGCGAGTGTCGTCGGGACTTTACCGAAAAATCTCCCACTACTTATATAAATAATCTAGCGGCGCCCTTGGGACCTTCGTTAAAGAAAAGATCGACTCCAAACGATCGAGGAATTCGTAGACCAAGGAACGGCTCGGTATCTCGGATCCCCGAAACGGCATCCGTCTATGTTTCCCGCAATACGTTTACATGTATACCTACTTTTTCTTTATCGCTATATTACCAAGATAATCTTTCGTCTCAATCATCGCACTTATTCGCCCATATTCGCTCTTTTTTCGTTAGCCTGTCTTCCTAGGGCAGTTGCTGGTTTTTGCGTGTTTCGTCCGCTTTTCTCTCTGTTTCTCGTGCCGTGAGGTGAGGTGACAACAAGGGTAAGGGTATAAGTCTTCGATGTATTAACGTTCTCATTTTTTTTCAATTCTTTCATTTTTATCGAGCGATCGTTTACAATAGATCGGGACATAACAACATGATGCGCTATATAGTGTTATTCGTAAAAGACGTATCGTATACAATAAACACAGTACAAATTATTCTCAAGCTAGTTTCGTTAATCAATATAAAATAATGCACGACAGAGAATTAGGTATCGTATAACTGAATTGTGAAATTCACTATTCCTACTCGGTCCCCTTCAGCTGGCCGGACGATTCTCTGCCGAGGAAAGGAGTCTCGGTGTCGAGACTCGTGTTACCTTCCGCAATCATAGCTAATTGCGAAGAGGAGGAAAAACAAAATTCCCATCTTCGTTCAACTTGGTGAAAAAAATCATTTAATTTAATTTAATTGGTTAATTGACGATTGTCTCCAATATGCGACACTAATAATGATTGGATATCGACGACGGTTGCAACGTTATTTATCTACCGTGGTAGCTTGCAGAATTATTTATATAATTCATAAATTATAAAACTGGTGAATCTAATGCTAACGAAAGTTACAATAAATGATAAAATAAGCAATTTTGACAAACAAGAATTACAATAAGTTATAAAATAGGTAATCCTTCCAATAGGTCCGAAAAAAATCTTCGATAATCTCTCGATTAACTCTAGCTAAAGGTATAAACTTTTGGTATCAGTTAATTGAAATGGACGACTGCCGAGACACATTAAAAGGCGTTTTATGTCAATGTTCAACGTCATTCTCCTCCTATTAGCCTCCGTGGGTTGAAGTACACAGTTCTACATCGCGCGTTTGCCACTTTTCCTCTCCACAAGAAACGGGTGTATTTATGATCTCTATTTACAAAACAGGACGCCGACCTTACAGTGTCGTCATTATCGCTTTCGTCATTGCTGGTTTCTTTCAAGTTATTACTGTTATATTATACGTTAAATTACGCTACGCAAATCGTGAAGAGAAAATGGTCGAGGAAGCTACCGCTCGACTGGGACTTAATCGTAGATTGTCGTAACAAGCGACGTAGAGTGAAATAATGTAGTGTGTATATGCTAATTGTCAAGTATAAAATATGTATTCCCTATGTCGTCAAGCGGCATATGTCGATCAAGTATGTTCAACGCGCACGAGACGAAGACAAAGCGAGCGGAAGCGAAAGATCTTGGAAGCAAAGTGACGAGGAGCAAGCGGCGCGCCAGGAAAAAGCTGGGAATCAACGGTGGACAAAGACCGAGGGCTTTCAAGGTAGCCGCTCGGGGCGAAACGTGTTCTTCGAACACGCGGTGATCGCCGGAGTTGAAAACGTTTCAACGCGAAAAAAAAAACAGTGCAATATCAGATAATGAAATAATTTTGACACACGTCGCGGGCCGATTAATTCCCCGACTTTCTCGACGCCACGTGTGCACGTCGAAATCTACGAAAAGCAACATACAACTGTCAATTGTGTCCAAGCACATCTCGGTATCGAAACGTCGTCATTTTGCTTCCAGATTCCTCGATTGTCGTCGTTCTCCCGTCGAAATATCTCGCAATTCTTTTTCTTTTTTTCCTCAACGGGAGAGAACATTCCCTTTCTCGTGCGACGGGAGACCGGATTCGAGATCGGTTCTTTTCTTTTTCTCTTTTCGCCTGGGAGAATTGTGGTCTACTTAGATACAAAATTAATGAGCGGACTGATTAATTAAGTGACGGATATCTTTAATAACGTCGCTGAGACTGGGCGTTTTGGTAACCAGCACTGCCACCTGCAAACAACCATAGCTCCTCCGTTCCATTACTCGAGAAATAGAATTAGTGATCCTGACTCTCTACATATACAAAAACCGAACGGCCTACTTTGTATAGATTTCCTCTACAATAATCGCTACCCGATCCACCTGCACCTGCCTACTGCTCTTTTCACGTTTTCACATGTGTGCGTGCGCGCGTGTGTGTATATACGTGTGTGTATGTAATGGTATACGCCAACAATTTCATTTGCCCTCGTTTTGATTCTTAGATATTAGAAAAATCGATTCCTCGTAGATCAGTGCTTTCGTAATGCAAAACATCTTATCCTCGTGTGGACACTCTCTCTTTTTTTTTTAAATCTTACTAACGCTCTCGAACATTGCAAAAGTCCTCTAAATATCTTCGAGTATTGTGCGGACAGACTTGTAGGAATCTCTCCCTCACTTTTCTTTCTTTCGCTCTGCCGTTTTTCGTGATTTTGCAAGTGCTCTTGTGATAATGTAAACGCTTTTTTTTTTTTTGGAACCGCAAATACTTGTGTCTGACACTGCGAGTGTTCTCGCGACATACTGCAAACGTTTCGGTGTACCGCGAACAAGTGGTTAATGGTGATGTCGTTAAGTGATCTCTCGTAATGTTGCACTCGTACCTCACGCAGCGTACGACAGTTAAGTTAATGACGCTATACCGGCCCTGCAGGTACGTTTTGTTCTTTCTTTTCCCCCTTTGCGTTACAAGACGCGTTACACTGTGTGCGGTACTGACTGTAATTTTTACTTGGTTTCCTCTACGACACGGCTAGACTGAATTTCTTTGATCTGGCGACGAGTTTCGGGAATCGCAACTATTCGTAAATCTCTCAGAATCGTCTCAACAATGTCCCCGGGTTTATTAAGTTTTCTACGAAATTTTAATCCCTAATTATCCAAGAGTCCCTCGAACTTTACGGAATGTTCTGTACCTTTCTTGTCAAAATATGAAAATGTGTGTATGAATCTTTTAGGTAAGTTAACGCTAACGTACGTCGGTTTTCGATATCTGTTTTTTGTTGTACCCTTCGGATTTTTTTTTCTTTTATGCCGTATATTGTTATTACTTATTCGATAGATCTCACGTCTAGATTCTACACAAATACATTTCCTCTCCCATTCGACTTAGCTAAATCTTTTTCCTCCGGTCAATGAACTTTTCTGTACTGCGAGTTGTACTTACCATAGTCCTGTTTCCCATAAGCACCGTCCTGATTCGGATAATCTGCAATCACAAGAGAGAGAGAGGCACGGTTTATCGAAAAATGCTTCGCGCCGAGAATCGACAGAGGCGAACGACTCGGACGAAAAATATTCTGAAACGAGTCGAACGGGGAAAAAAGCAAAAAAAAAGGAGCTTCGTCCTGGCACAACGGTCGATTGGAGGAAGCAGTAAAGTACAGAATCTCCACAAGGAAGTGACAGTTTGTTAGTCAACTGAAATTAATTAATATCGCATAATTGCTTGAAACATTTAAAAAAATTTCTTGAAACTTGCAATCTAAATAAAAATCTACGTGTAATATTGAATTGTAAATTAAGAGAGACAGACGCAATACATAAGACAAAATTAGATGACAGAAAATACAAATTGAAAAATAATAGTAAAGGACGCATAAGTGCGACAAAGTGACAATCTATATAAAAATACATGTATTTTCGATGTTATTTAGGTGAGAGAGAAATTGCACATTTCACAAACACCCTGTAGTCCTTCTGGAGTGAAAGATGGCAGGAGGCAGTGCTGCAGTGCTGGTGTCTTGATGAAAGGATCTGTATCCAGCATGTGATTTCTCGTCGCGCCCGAAACGGGATTGTGTGACTCCGCGCGACTCTTTCGCGTCGATCGCGGTACAATTCGAAGGGAGACAAAGAGACATTTTGAGGCTCCACGCGCGGATCCACGTAAAAATCCAAACGACCGACGGGGAACAAGGGAGAACGCGAGAGAACTCCGAAGGTACCGACAGGAAACTCCGATTCTAGCAACACTTAGATTTCGGGAGGTTCAGAGTTTTCAAGTTTCTCGAACGCAGATCCGGGAAAAATTCACCGCCGTCGGAATCGGATTGTTTCCCGTTTGAATTGGATCGTGCTTCGCGCCTTTTTGTTAACGGGATCGTGTTAAACCCGGATGTGTCGCCCAGAGAACGAGAACATAAGGTGGAGGCGATCTTCAAGAACATTTACTATCGAGAAACGAGACGTTAAATTGTTTGTCGGGAAAGAACATTGTATCATGATACAGTAATCCGAATTCGTTGAATTCGCCGAGAGAATCTTGCAGCACGCGGCATAATAAACCGATGCTTTCCCCCAAGGAAAATTTTAGTCAACGTTTTGTCGGTTAATAATGCCCTACCGTGACTTTGCGACACAATTTGCGACACTCGCGACGCCTCTTCGCGGGCAGACCCTTTCGAGATAATTCGCCGTTCCATCTCGACGGTAAACGCGTCCTTAAGGATCGCTCTGACGGTTGTAGTTAATGAACTGTATATGTGAGCGATATGGTGACAGCGGGCGAAACAACTAACCGTAAGGTTGCGTCGAGTAACCACCCCGGTTGATTACGTTGGCATTAGATTGGTCGTCGTATGGGTTAGCAGGGGCATAACCGCCCCCGCCACCCGGCCCCGCAGTTGACACTGCCTCCTGCTGGTAATTGGCTAGACATGCATTATGTAATTATTAATTAAACTAGCTGTTCCATCGACCCATTCAATTCGGCACTCGAGCACTCGATCGGTCGGTTGTCGCGTGCCTTGAGTGCTCGGTACTCGTGACTGTATATTGTAAATGCGTCAAGCTTAATCGATTTAGCTCCTTGCGAACCTGAACTTTTATTCTGAGTCACTATTGCAGGGAGGCCTGTATAGCTTTGGAATTTGGAGTGACTTTGTGTGAAGAAAATTAATTTCAAGTGGGAACTGAGCGCGAAGCTGATTAGCGAGAGACAAGTTGCAATACAAGTTGCAACGGGAGAGTTAACGACGCACGTCACACCCGACCTCTTATTTTGGTATCCTACAACTCACCTGATGGCGGAGCTTTGCCGTAACTGTAGGGATCGTTAGCGCCAAATCCTCCTGCAGCCGAAACCGACGACGCTCCGCCGTATCTGTTATCTGATGCGGATGATGGGTAACCCTGGAAGAGACGAAATAATCGCATCGAATTCTTCCGATTGAGGGAACAACTATTTTAACACCAATAGGGGATTCTTGTCGATTGCAGTTGAAAACGTTTGTAACTATTTTAATTCACTTGGATTTATTTAATTGAATTTAAAGAAATGAACAAATTTAGAATGTTACTTCAATTACTGGAAAAAAAGAAACAGCAGGATTTTAATGACTGGAAATAATTAATGGCAGACTCGTATTTGCAGATCGCTAGACTCTCAGAATTGTCTCGAGCATATTGCAGTAGTATCAAGTTCGCTCACCGTTTGTCCATAATCCTGGGGCTGCTGGTAGCTCTCGTAGCCCTGATAAGACTGTGTGTAGCCCTGCTGCGAGCCGTAGCCACCGCCGCCGTATCCAACGGACTGTTGCTGCTGAGGCTGCTGCTGGCCGCCGTAGGCATTATTTGAACCTCCGTAACCGCCTTGGCTGTGGTAAGCGAATTTTCAGTCTCACTCATTTTCGAGAAAACATATTGCTTTCCAATGCTTACGAAACAACTTCCGGGATACTCACTTAGATTGTTGAGTGGCATAGCCATTGGATGGCTGGGAAGACGACTGATCAAAGCGCGGCCTCTTAGAGGGTCCACTGGCGCTGGGCGGGCCCCCTCGTTTTGTCGGGCCGCCACGTCCGCCTGCCCCCCGACCGCCACGATCAATGAAGCCACCCCCGCGGCTTGGTCCACCTCTACTTGATCCTCCTCTGAAATAGTGAATCGCGCTTAAATTAAAAAATAAATTTTTATTAATAAATTTCTACATGTGTAAATTCCTACATATTTATATATATTATATTTATTTATATATAGAAGACATTAATAGATTCTTTATTTGCCACATTAATAAAATTCTCTTTAATAACTTAATTTTTCAAATTAAACTTTAACTACATTGTGAATGTTGTATATATTATTAAATTAAAAACTATTATTGTCTTCCACTTCGTTATTAATTTCTTTTGAAAGTGAAATATGTAATTTTACCGTAACACATCAGGACGAAATTTTTGTCAAGTTATTACTGAACGAAGTACTAGAACTCTGAAGTTAAGAATAAGTGTACAATATACTTATATATATATACAATAAAATTTTTCAAGAGACCAATAAAAGCTGACTATAAAAGATATGTATGAATAGTTAGCGTTACATAAACAATTTTATTTGGGCGCAAATAAATGAATTGTTTCGGAACTAAAAGGTAGTTCTCTCACCTAGATCCTCCTCTGCCTCTATCCATGCCACGACCTCGGAAATTGTTGCTACCCCCGCGGCTATCCCCCCTGCCGAAGTCGCCTCTGCCTCTGCTGCGGAAGCTGTTGCTTCCGCCACCCCTTCCACCGCCACCTCGCGGAGGACCACCCATTCCTAAAGGTGGCGGGCCACCACCGGGTCCGCTGGACATTCCAGGTTCTGGTGGACTAGATGAATGATAAAAATACTTCAGCTTATGATTTCTTAACTTGTAACACTTTAGCTTCTGAACTTTACTACCAGTAACATAAAAAATATACAAGATTTGTAATTGATCAGATCTTGCAACTGTTCGTAAAAACTTATCAAAATATTAATAGAAGGTAAAGCAAGGATTATTGACCGTGTATAAAACTTATCATATTGATATTTTTTTATATTACAGATACGAAAATTAATGAACAGTTTATGTGTAAGTCAATGATAAAACTGAGAACATTTCGCAAAATATGACGGTTAATTTTACTAGAGTATAATAGGCCTGTGTCCGCGATGCTAGAACTTGGATCAAGTTCTAGCATTGTGGACACAGGTCTTGAGGCGTGTATTAGCCTGAAATGTTTACCCAGGGGGGAAATGTCCACCGTGTCCACCACGACCACCTCTAGGAGGACCACCTCTGCCTCTCATAGGTGGGCCTCCTCTCATGCCACCGCCAGGTCCGTTGCCACGTCCGCCGCGCATCATGTTACCGCCTCGCATAGGGCCACCTCTGTTAGGAAAAAAAAATGCAATTATTTTTGTTCGTACTTCCATCTCTCTTATAATAATTAACTGCATCTCGACACGTGCAAAACTTGATTTAATTCTTGATGTCGTTGCGCTGTGTTTCTTTTCACGAGTTATTGGACTTTGTAAAGAATGGAATATAAGATTTCAGAGTGTTTTCCAGAGCGAACGGTCATGGGGATAGAAGAAAGTCCCGTATTACAAGATACACTTCTAATATGAGATAGCGGGGTTTCTGCTAAATTAATAGGCATCCCTTGAGGCGTCATATGGCAATTCCACCATGAATTTATTGTTCTTGGAGCGAAATCTGTCTAGCGGAAAATTCATTGTTAGATTTTGGCTTTCAAGCTTTCGCGGCTGCTGTCTTCGTCAGTCGTAATGGCGTCCGGATGGTTGCCGCGTCCGTTTGCAGTGTGGTGCCGAAACATTTCGCAAACATTGCATTTTGCATCATCAGGGCTGGGAGACTCTGATACTGAGCTCCCTTGAGTTGCGGTAGTCCTCAAATACCCGTGTCCCCACTCTTGTGGAGAGGATGGGAAGGGGGGAAGGGCCGGAGGGATCATTGTTGGATTGTGCAATCGTTGCGGGAAGAGATTTGTGATTGAATTTGGATGTTGAAAACCTGCTACCTCACGTTAGAAACCAATCTCGCAACAGAGCACTTTCCTCTACTAATGCAAGGTTTCTCTCCCGCTCGTTTCAACTGGTTCTTTACCTTCCTCTCTCTCCAAAACCGCCGCGTCCTCTCATCAATCCACCGGGACCTCCGCGGCCGCGGAATCCACCTCTACCTCCTGGCGCTCCGTCCATTGCTTAAGCTTCCTGCAACGTATTTAAATTCATATAGATCCAAACTGTGTTGAGTAAATCCAAACTACAGTCGAATCTCTCTAACTCGAATCATCTTGAGAATCTCTACGGGTCAAAGGAAATTAATTCGAACTTATTCATGAACGGACTGGTTGCCGAGTTTTACTTCCACTTGGATTACTTCAAATTCACCTCTGTCTTAAAAGGAGTCTTTACAACTCGAGGTTTGAGAGATAAAACAATTTGTCGATACAACAAAAATATAATTGTATATTTTTTTATAGAAATTCAATATATTCTTTAAGCAGTTTTACAAGTATGTCTCTCTCTTCTCTCAATTTTTTCCTCCCCGTATCTCGGGAACTTGTAAGAGCCTAAGCAGAATGAACAGCATTTGTCAAATTTATATTAGCAGTCGTTACATCATTACTTTCGTGTATTCACAACCACAGGTTTGTTATTTGCAGACATTGAAAGATAACATAAAACCGGAGACATAACGGTATTTATTTAAGGCTCGGTCTACAATGAGTCGTTAGTCAGAAGTCAGAACTATATGTCGGCCTTTTTCTTTCACCCAGAAAGAGACAGGATTGCCATATAGCTCCGACTTCTGACTAACACCTCGTTGTAGACACAGGCTTGAACGCATAAAACATCGTCTTGAAATTACGGATCAGCCATTCTGCCAATGTCCCGAGATTTGATGAATCGAAACTTACAGAACTTGAATAATTATCCGTCGGCGTTTGAGTTTCGAGAGGTTCAACTGTGAACACGTGCGGTCAATCTTAGCATTCAACGACTCTAGGAACAGCAAGTCTCGGCTCGAGGACCTACGAAAATCACGGAAGTTCACAAAGAATCCAAGAATTGAGAGGTCAAGAGTGTCTCGAGTCATTGGACTCGACCGTGCATCTTTCTCTCAGGCGCGAACTCGCGAAACGCGAAGAGTTTCATTGACAAATGTTGAATTCGTTAATGAATGAAATTTCTCGCCTTTCACGAGTTCACGCTAGAGAAAAAGCGTCGCGCTCGCGCCCATTGGCTCCGTCGAGCCAGGAATTCGTGGGACGCGAGTTCGCAGGTTTCACGGGTCGTAATCGGCTCATCCGATCGGCAAAGCGGCCTCGCCTGCCGCGAGGGCTCGGCGGCTTCTACTCCGAAATGCCCTGCGACGAAAGACACTCGGCGCGACGTTCGTTACCGACGTGCCCTCGCAAACACGAGGAATACCGTAACAAGCGAAACCGCGTCCTCTCCACGCGGCAGCGACGCCGAATCGCGGCGCGCGCGAATCCCCGTGTTTACCCTCGCTCTTCTATCACGGATCCCGGCGAGATTTCGCGCGGCGCACCACCGCGGTGTCGCCGCACCGACGCTATCTCTGCGCGCAAATATGTCGCCGCGAGGACGCGTCCCCGGCGACGTCCAATTCGACCGAACGCGAGGCAGCGCGGGACGTCGAGGAGCGACGCGATTATGCGGAGAGGCGGGCATTTACTCACGATGGGCAGACGGGTGCAGGCACAGCTCATGAATCGGAGACGCTCGCGCGGACAAGCGAGCAAGATGGACGACCGAGACACTCCGATGTACCGCGGCGGAAATAGTATTGCGAATTGGAGGGACGGATCCACCAGCGCGCGTGCGCAGCGGCGCGACGCTAGCAGACGTCGTCGCCCGGCTCAGTCCCGTATCTGTTTCTCCGGAATGGTGGGTGCCGCCGGGTCCCCGTGCCCCGCCAAAGTAGGGCTGGGATGACGTGTAGGGGCTAGTATTAGATTTGTCCAGGGTTGGGAAAGTAACTCGTTACTTGAGCAAAGTTACAGTTAGTTACTTTTTTTTTTTGGTAACTCTAGCTTAACTTGGTTACTTTCTCTCCAACTGAAACTTAACTCGGTTACATTTTTTCGATAACTAGTAACTAATGTAATAGTTGCATTAATAGTTAGCTACTTTATGTATTTGTTAAACCTCCACAGATCGCATCAGGCCTTGCGTTTACGCACAAACGCCTTGATCGACGCTTCACAATTCAAATGCAGATCTTCGATATTTTTATTTTCATTGCAAGAAAGTGACTGCAAGGCGACGATTCGTTACTTTTTGAGTAACTGTAACTGTGACGCGTTACTTTTCAGAATTGATAACTTGTAACTGTAACCAGTTGCATTTTTAGCGAAGAAACTGTAACTGTAACTAGACACTTTTATAAAGTAACTTTCCCAACCCTGCATTTGCCGTACGACAAATTTTTTAAGCGTGTTAATTGGCTGCAAGATTAGTAAAATTTTCGAGTATCTAGAAACTTTGTATTCATCAGCCAACCACACTTAAAA